TTTTGTCCGGGAATGATCTCGTAAACTATACATCTGACTAAGGTGAAATGTTTTTAGGGTCAGTAGACATGTTATGTAGATTTGCGGAACGAAGGTCATTTTGCGCGCACGTGCTTGCAAGAGCGTGCACGTGCAACATGTGAAATGACCGATTTAATTGATATAGGCGTAACTTTTAAAATTTTTAATGAAATGCTTTGAAACTTATAATATGAGGATATATTAGAAGCATAGACAATATGACATGGTCAAAATAGCAAGATCTCACGCACATGCACGTGCGCTTTGTTCTGATTGGCTGAAACTAAAGTCTCAATATCTTTCTTGTTTTTTGACGAAATCCTTTGAAATTTTGAAAATAGCCATGCATTAGTATATCCTACAACATGATATATAGCAATTATCATGAAAACACGTGCATGCACGTGCGCTGCAATCTGATTGGCTTAAACTTTAAATAGCTATAACTCCCTTGATTTTCAACCAAACAGGATGGGATTTGGAACATAGATAGATATACTGGACTACTACAAGAAAATATGGTCACCATGCAGATGCATACACGTGCATGTACGTGCATGTACGTGCGCTGCAATCTGATTGGCTGAAACTTTAACAGCTATAACTCCCTTGGATTTCAACCAAACGGGGTGACATTTAGAACACAGATAGATGTAACGGACATCAACAAGAAGATATGGTCACCATGCTCATGTATGCACGTGCGTGCATGTGAAATGAGAAAAATAAAAAAAACACTTGAATGAGCGTATTTTTTTAATACTTTTGGATTAAATACTTTATTATATTTAATATATTTAAATATATAGATTGTGTAGACAAGATGATATGGTCATTACGCACATGCATTCACATGTGCACGCGTGCAATGCTAAAATTTGAATGAACTTTGTACACTTCTGGGTAAACGTTGTTAAAGTCTCAAATGCATCGAGTTAGTCTTATTTAATGAAACTTATAGGGAATATGGCACCAAAAGGGAGTTGGGGAGCGTTTGGGGAACATCTGTAACGGTCTCCGTTACAATTAGCACTAGTTTATGTTGTTATTCCCCTTGCTTATGGAAATAGTCTTCAGGTACGCTGTTGTTTGTAAACGCTGTAATTTGTGAAACAAATAATGCTGTGTTTTGTACATGGCCTGTATAATTAAATCAGGGCTTGTAATTATTACAGCATAAAATCAACAATGTGCAAGTCGTAGTGATCAATAGCTAACAATAATGTATCGTGTTAGAATGCACTTCTTACGATTTATTTACCACATCTCAAGCAGAATCAATTACAGACAACCAGACAGCTAGACCAATTCTTGACTTATAAAAAGTCTTCCGAAAGATTTCAATGGTCAGAGACAGTGGCCCAGATTTCTTCACAGAAAGAGAAAGCAGTATGAAGATCACAAAAAAGCAACCGCCAATACACGAATAACATAATTAGTGCCAGCTTTTGATGAGGTTCAATGCATTCAGACTCTAGAACTCTCTGTAAAAGAATTTACAAAGGCTGTATATTTGTGGGAAAGGCCATATTAATTAAGGACTGAAATGGGCATAATGCATGAGTCTGCATAATACATTAATCTGCGGTGTATAAAAATCGTTCTGAAAGATCACAAAAATTGACTTGAATGGCCAGTGTAAGATTGCCTTATTTTGTACACATTCTCGTTTCTATAATTCAATAAACTATACTGCGATGAAATCTCTTTATCTTTGCATCTCGGATATGATAAGAACCTGACAATCTTTGTACGAATTAAATTCTTTCTTAAAGCACTATTCAAACGCCTATTTCAACAAGGTGTATATAAAGACTGCTGAAATGACGGATTTAAATGTATATATTGGCCTGATGGTGTGAATTCACTGCCGATAGTATCCGACTCTGTTTAAATTAATTTGTTGTGGTTCAAAAAAGGAAAATAATGTCATCAATTCTATGGATATCAAGAGAGTTTTAAAGTAAATAGTTCGGGGACATGTTCAATATTACAACGTTTACTCTCTGTTTATTCTGAGTGGTGAACTTCAGAAAAGGCAAGAACTGTTCATACAAAGCTTGCCGAAAGGGCAAACTTAAAGCTTTTTTATGAGAACTTTTTAGAGTTTTTGATAACATTACAAGCAATTCATATTAATTTAAAATATGACCCAGATAAAAAGTCGATTGATTTGATATCACTATCAACGTGGAAAAGATTAGGGGGATTGATCTTGATTACCATGTAAAACAAACCGCTGAGACCGACAGGGGGTGGTCAAGCCTTTGTGATCGTGATGACAGTAAGCTAATACACAAAACATGGTTCTCCACGCAGTATTGTCTATCTTCATTCTATCCCCATTCATCCGTTAATTAATGCAAAATTTGGAAACACGATATAGTTTTAGTGCCAGTAGAGGCTACAATGAATGCCAATTGTTGGTTGACTTGATGAACCCTTTAGCATTAAAATTAATTTTTAAAGTTAATGTTACCTCTTTGTTCTGTCCGTTGGATAGTACTTTAAGTATGTCCTTGTATCCTTTTTGTACAGCTATGTGAAAGGGAGATAATCCATCATGATCCTCAATGGTGGGGTCTGCCCCTGCATCCATAAGCAGGGTGCAGAAATTAATATTTTTACCTAAAACTGCCCAGTGTAGTGCTGTCCTTTCCGACTTATCCTGAACATCAATATCTAATGTGTCATTCTTTAACAATATCCTAGCACATTGCACAAAATCCCTTCCAAAGGAATTCCCTCTGCTACAACCCTCCTTTACGCAGAATATAAGCGCATGGCCTCCATCCTCATCGAATTGTTCATTATCCCTGTTAAGAGGGATGTCTCGATCCACATGCTGTGAGAAGAACTTGCGGAGGTCCTTTTCTTTGCCTGTTTCCACCACTTTCCACATATTCTCCATGAGATCCGCCATGCTGACTCTAGTTTCTTCATCTTCACTGGATGTTTTTTCCTCGGACTGCTCTGTTATTTCTGAATCTGCCATATCAGGGTATCAACTCTTCTCCTTAAGATAAAACTAGACCTCAAACCCAAGTGACATTTTGCGTGAGAGTTCATTCATTACGAGGCCTCTGTCACCCCTTTAGTTGTAGCATTTAGACTCATACTGTTTTCCTTTTGAATTAAGTCATTCTGATGGCGAGCAGTCGGTGGATCAGGTAGATAGTCTTTGTCAGCATTTGTACGTCATCCTGCAAAATTTCCTATTGATTCCCACAAATAATCAACAGAAGGATATCATTTGCAATAAGAATCGAATTCATATACTGTCCGATTCAACTTTGCTCATGCAACTGGAATTATTCTTAGAATCAATTTATAATAAGTGTAAACCACACACTCCAAGAATCGTTAACTTATATGAAGTTATGTTTTAAAAGGCATCGATGGCACAATTTAAATCGACGAACATATGTTCTCTAAGTAATTTGGAATTCCAATTATCTTCTCATGTTATCTATGTAATAAGACGCATGTACGTATTTTGGTCAAATCACGCGTGACGTCGACGAGTTGAGCGAGAAGTAAATATTGACACGCGACCTGAGTTACAACAAACAATTCTTGACAATTTCAATGATTTGGGCATTTAAAAATTAACAGTGAAATGGCAGGCTGTTGTATAGCTTTTCTTGTTGCTATTGCCTCAATTGATTTAAATTCTGAAGTAATAGTTTTTGAATCATATTTGCCTATTTACTAATTTTTATCTCATCCTCATACAAATGAAAAATGGGGTCTTTCATATTCTGCACTTGTTGAACAAATATTAGCAGTTCAGTTAAATATTAAATTATCCTAGCCATATACTTTAAAAGCCAAAATTGGCGTAGAAAATTAAAGGTTATGGGGGAATCAATCTGTCTTCTTCATTTTTTTTTAACAAAAACAAATTTTAAAACTTTATGCATCATTTATAACTTTAAGTTCAATTGTTATGTACTGCAATTTCAAAACATCCCCAGCAGACGACTATCGACAAATTACCAATATAGTATTGTGTTATACTGGTCGATTTCCTGGGTATACTCTCACAGAGCTCCACCGTAACATAGCAATTAAATGCTGGATATGCAGCTTTTAGTGTAATATTCAGAGTAGGAAGAGGTGTAAAATTGATTAATAGATCTTTCCGTGGCTTCCGGCCAGAGGAGAATAGACTTTGCCTTGTAAATATCATGCCATTCAAAAATTATTTTACATTAAATATTCGCTATAGACATTTCATGATAATTTGATTCTCTTCAATGTCAACAGCTGGACCAGAATTATTCTAACACAACAAAGAGACTGGGCTCACTCGTTACTCCTAAGTAAAACCTAAATCCTTCGCTGGTGCACATTGTACAAGTACTCTTACTGAAATCATTGTTCTGGATGAGGTGTGATTTGCATTTTCTGTCCTTTTATATAAAGAGTCACAAAAGTTGAAAATACATGGCACGTAAAACACCCAATTTATAAGAAAAGTCCATGGATAAATAAAATAAATGCAGAAAACAAACAGTATTCAAGCTCAAAAGCCTATTAAACAAGTCAAAATTAGAGCAAAGCAAACAAGGATCTCCAAAACAACAGAGGTGGAATCAGATGCCATGGAGGAGTGCGTATTCCCTGCCAACTGTTCAAACGAGACTGGTGATATTTTTGTTTCAGCAACTTGCTTGTCAATAATTCACCTCGCTTTAGAAATTGTTCATACGTACATTCACGCGAATAAACTGAGAGATATAAACCCCATATGCATGCAGATGATGAAGGAAAATTGCTGCATATAAGTAAGGGAAGTTGACGATTGAAAAAAATTCATCACGTCTATGATGAAGCTTGGTTGTAAGATTACCATTAACGTCTTTTACAAATATGAAATTGATGTGTCAGACACCGGGATATCGACATAAGAATGGAAATAACCATCGTTAAATAATTTACAATTCGTCGTCAATATATGTAAATGTAGAGTTGAAGGCCACAGTAAGTGTTTCCTTTTCACGTTAAAGATTTTGGACAAAATGGATACATCATTGCCACGTCGATACGATATACAGGCAAAAGTGGCTCACTTAAATTTTATATGAAGATTGATTGTATGTTGTTTAACGTCCCTCTCGAGATTTTTTCACTCATACGGAGACGCCACCACTTGCCGGTGGAGAGCTGCAAATTTTGTCCTATGCTTGAAACTCAGGGCCATTGAGCAGTGAGGGATCTTTTTCGTGCCAGCACCTACTACGACACAGCTGACCTCGGTTTATACGGTCTCATCCTAAAGACCGGTTTCCACTTCCCACAGTTGGATTCGAACCTGCGACGTAAATTTCAACTCCTATTTCGCTCCTGTATAGCGGACGCTCTAACCACTGCTCCACGCGGGCACGAAATTCACATAAATGATATGTGAAATTTTTGCATGGGAAAGACATGAAAACAAGACGTGAAATTTATGTGAAAACATATTTATTTAAGGAATGACTCTAATTCTTGGTCAGATTATCGAGTATAATATGGTTTGGGTCAGTTTACGCTTTATAATCGCGGATTATAAAAAAGCGTAAACTGACCCAAACCATATTATACTCGATAATCTGGCCAAGAATTAGAGTCATTCCTTATAATTTAATTTTAAAATAATTAAACAACTGGGGATGTAAAATTGTGTTGTTTTTATTAGTTCAAATTTACCGCGCAATAATACAACCGTAGTAACGGAAGTGATGGGAAGCAAGGGGAGGTAAAAACTGATACATAGATCTAGCAGCCATGATGCTTGTTTACATGAGGTAAGATCGAGCAGCTGTTTGAAGTAAAAGGTACATTCATTAAATCTGGAATTTTTCATGAAGCCGAAGGACTGGAAATGAGGGGATTGATGGATACAGATGATTCAGCTGGTTGTCAAGGGGGTGTGTCCCCATACCAAACCAGATTATACAAAATGTTATGCGTTCCTTTTTGGAAATCAACCAATGAGAGACAAGAATACAAACAGAATTAAATTATTTTGAAATAACTTTCATCTGAATTTTACATGAAGAGCATATATCACATTGCACCAGGGTGAAAATAGTAACTCGCAAACATTATTGCACATCTACAAGACACTTTGAACAAATCATATTCCAAAGCTGTTAAAAGGAAGAATAGATCAGATAACCATGTAGGTAAAAGAAAATTTCTGCGAATCGCCACAAGGGTGAAAAGCGAAATTCTGAAACCTTATTGCACATGTACAGGACACCACCAATCAAATTCAACATGATGAATATGTTACTGCAAAAATTTAAGAGAAATACATGGTACGAGTTTTTTCCGCCAGATAAAAAATCCTTTTTTGCCCAAATTGTCCGTGATGAACAGTGAAATTCCGAACTCTTTGGAACATCTTTAGGACAATCCAAAACATATTCTAATTTATCACTTTGCAACTGCGAAAAATATCAGAGCAGTTCAGGAAATCAGGTTTTGTAAAAAAAAAAAAAAAAAAAAAGTGTTACGAACCCCTAAAAAAAATGAAAATTTCAAAAATGTTTTTCCACATGTTCTAATAACAATAATCATATTCCCACAGATTAGTTGCAATTACCTACTGCAGATAACGTAATCTAGTAGTTTGATAGAGGAGGAAGATAGTGTAATAGTAGGACGGGCGAACCAGGCCCCAGGATCATGAAACAGACTCAGACTTAAGTCAACTTTTCAATCGCCTGTAAAATGTTTATTAATTGTTGAATTAATATCAAAATTTGCAAACAACCACATTTTTATGAATCAATATTGAAACATATGTGAATTTTGACCTGTTTTCCTGCCATAACATTTATGTACAACATGAAGACTTTGACTTAAGCTTAAGATGTTTCATGAACCCAGGGCCAGGTCTATAACAATATACCCTGACGTTCTACAGGAAGTCCGGGTATAATCGGCATTGTTGAAAGCTGATAAACTGCTCAAGAAAAACATGTAAACATGCAAATTTTATATATGCATGCCTAAATTAAAGTCAAAGAGTACAATGCCCTTGGACGGCATTTTTTCTAATTCTTAATTAAGGTCACTTTTAGTCACTGATAACATAATGCTGTCATTTCTCTTCTGTCGTAGTTTTTCGATAAAATATATGGAGACAACGAACATGATTTAAACTCAAAAGTCAATTCAAACAAAACAAATCAGAAGCAGGGCAAATACGAACCTCTAAAACATCAGAGTCGGGATCAGAGTGAGCATCCCCTCCTGACCGGTTATACCCGCCATGTGCTCCCTGTCTTGTTCGGGAAATGACGGGAAAATCCGACGATGATTCGATGTGAAAATAATGGTCTAACGATTATTATGAAAAATGTCAGTCAGCATTTGACTCAATAATAGATTGTACGTGTTTGCTGACATTGTATAAACCATAGAACTTACGAAATGCTGATTTTAAACGAGACTACTGACTGTCAAAGGCTGACATTTTTTATACCAACATACTAACTACTAATTGTTAGGCTAGAATTTGCACACTGATTTGTCGACAGATTTGTTATTTCCCGATCAAGACAAGCGGGTGTGACCGGTAGGCAGGGGATGCTCTTTCCTCCCATGCACCTGATGTCACCTCTGATCTGTTAGACACTAGTTTATCTTTTAGACACTAGTGTTTGCTTTGCACCTGATTTATATTAATGAGAAGGACTTTTGAGCTTGAATACACTGTTCATATCTCCATACATTTCATTTCATATTCTTATTTCAACTTGTTTGTAAATAAATTACCTCGTTATATTCAAAAACGGTTTATTGTTCTATTTTTTGCAAATACTAACTTAATATCAAAAAGTTGCCCATGTTACGGAATGGCCAGAGCATTTGCTCTAGAGACGCGGACTAAGGAGTTGATCCTTGGGTCGCTGGCTCGAATCCGATTGTGGGACGTGGAGACCGTTCTTCAGATGTGACGGTTAAACTGAGTTCTTGCAGTAGGTGCTCGCACGAAAAAGATCTCTGTTTAATGCCCTTTTTACCGGGTATTAATGTATATTTGGAGCCCTCTACCAGCAAGTGGTAGCGTCTCGATTTGCTTGAAAAATTCTCGAAAAGGAAGTTAAACAAACAAACATGGTCAAAAATTCTGGCATACACGTATACGGCTCAACGCGCTTTTTAAACTCACATGGTTTTTCGCACAAATTAAGGTCACAACCTAAAATTATCGAGCTTCCGTGCGAGACATTACCCGTATATTATTAAATTTTTTGTTAAAAGTGCACATTCTCTAAAATCATTATCTTAAGTTTTTAAAATCGATGTTTTAAAAGGGAATGAGTTTATAAACTGCATGATGTTACACGTGTATGATTCTTCCAT